GTAGAAAAGAATAATAATAAAATAAAAAAGAATAATAAAATAGAAATAGAAAAGAATAATAAAATAGAAATAGAATAATAATAAAATAAAAAGAATAATAAAATAGAAATAGAAATAGAATAATAAAGAAGTAGAAAAGAATAATAATAAAATAAAAAAGAATAATAAAATAGAAATAGAAAAGAATAATAAAAGTATATAATTTGTTGCGCATGCAGATTTGAAGGAGTGGCGGTTTGTCTTCGACAGTTTTGACGGCGACGGCGACGGCAGACTGAGCAAAGCGGATTTACAGAAGCGCGGCGACTTCTCTTTAGATAAAATACAAAAGATCGAGCGTAAATTTAACCTTTTACTTTCTTTTAAACTAATAAACCCTGTTTAATTAACAATAATAAACCCTAATTCATAAACCCTAACAAATTCTGATTCATAAACCCTAATAAACCCTATTTAATTAACCCTTATAAACCCTAATAACGCCTATTGCTAAACCCTATAAAACCCTAATTCGTAAACCCTAATAAACCCTAAACCCTAAACAGGGACGGCGACAGGTAGAGCGTAGCCCCTAAACCCTAAACCCTAAGCACTAGAGGCAGGTGAACAGCAAGTTCGCCAGGAGCTAAACCCTAAACCCTAAACCCTAAACCCTAAACCCTAAACCCTAAACTGAGGGTCTTAACGCTAGCCAACTCTTTAGGTGTAAAGCGTTTTCTAAAACCCTAAACCCTACAACACAACCAACGCACTGCGGTGGTTTAGGGTAAGGGTTTAGGGTTTAGGGTTTACGTCTGCAGAGTACGACAAGGACAAGAACAACTTAATTGACTTCGGAGAGTTCGTGGAGGCGCTCTATGAGGCAAGAAGCATCTCCTAAACCCTAAACCCTAAACCCTAAACCCTAAACCCTAAACCCTAACCTCTAGCCCTATAACAACCATGCGGTATGCATCTACAAAACCCCAAACCCTTTTGCGGGTTTTGCGTTGAACACGGTTTAGAAAGCTTCGGTGAGGGTTTAGGGTTTGCTGAGATCTAGGGTTTATAGAACTAGAGTTTAGGGTTTAGGGTTTAGGGTTTGGCTGTGCAGCTTGACAAGGAAATCCTGAAGGAAGGGTTTGAGGGTTTCAGTGGAGTCGACGTACAACTCGAATTTGAAAAGTTCGCGAGTAAGGGTTTAGGGTTTAGGGTTTAGGGTTTAGGGTTTCGGGTTTAGGGTTTCGGGTTTAGGGTTTAGGGTTTAGGGTTTACTGTTCCGTTCAAACACGAATTGCTATCCGTAGTTTCTTTCTATTTTTAATTTTTTTGTTTGTTTGTTTTATACATATATATATTATTTATTATATATATATAATAAATAATGTATATATATATTATATTTAAAATATAATTATTAATATATATTTGCTGAATATATGCACGCAGCGGCAGACGCACAAGGCAAGAAGACGTTAGGCGTGCACGGCATATTAAAACTGCTGAAAACAAATAAATTTACATGCGCAACAGAGAGCGACTGCCGCAAACTTTTCAAAGAAATCGACAGAAATAAAGACGGCATCGTTGACCTCAAAGACTTCCAAGAAGTAAACCCTAAACCCTAAACCCTAAACCCTAAACCCTAAACCCTGAACAGCAAAGCCTGAACAGTAAACCCTAAAGCCTGAAGCCAAAAGTCTAAAGCCTAAATCCTAAACCCTGAGCCCTAAAAACTAAACCCTAAAGCATAAACCCTAATTACTAAACGGTAAACCGTAAACCGTAAACCCTAAACCCTAAACACTAAACGCTAGCGGTATTTCCTTAGGAGAAAATCCATACGCTCATCAAGAAGGGTTTAGGGTTTGCTGTTTGTTTTCTGCAGTGGGTTGCAGCCCGATGAGTGTGCTGTCTAAACCCTAAACCCTAAACCCTAAACCCTAAACCCTAGTTAAAATATGCCGCCCAGGAGCAGCGGAATGTTGAGAAGTCTTCACTGCATTGTCTTCTGGAGAAGATAAGGGTTTAGGGTTTACGTGAGGTTGAGGGTTTGTCTAAACCCTAACCCCCGGAAGGGTTTAGGGTGTAGGGTTTATGAGGCGTTGGGGGTTTAGCAGCGAAATTCCTAACCCTTCGCTTTTATTGAATTCATTCGAAACACAAAAACTGAAAAAGCCGTCTTCAGGTGTATAGGCAGCTCTGACTTGAGGTGTATAGGCAGCTCTGACTTGAGGCGTATAGGCAGCTCTGACTTGAGGTGTACAGGCAGCTCTGTCTTGAGGTGTACAGGCAGCTCTGACTTGAGGTGTACAGGCAGCTCTGTCTTGAGGTTTACATTCAGCTCTGACTTGAGGTGTATAGGCAGCTCTGAGTTTTTAGGTGTATAGGCAGCTCTGAGTTTTTAGGTGTATAGGCAGCTCTGAGTTTTTAGGTGTATAGGCAGCTCTGAATTTTTAGGTGTATAGGCAGGTACTTGATGCGCCTCTACTTTCGTTTCTGATACGTTGATTGCAGTGCCAAACCGTAAACCCTAAACCCTAAACCCTAAACCCTAAGGCCTACACCTCAGCAGTGCTGCAGTCGCTAGGGTTTAGGGTTTAGGGTTTGCGACCCATAAAAATGGCTGAGGGGTGATGGCTTGTTAGCAGCAAATCCCCTCCTATTTGTTCTAGAGGCGTTGCTGCTGCCGTTGCTGCTGCTGTTGCTGCTGCTGTTGCTGCTGCTGCCGCGAGTTGGTTTGGCCTTAGAGGGTTTAGGGTTTGCTGCAGCAGCAGCAGCAGCAGCAAGAGAAGGGAAGTGCAGCTGCCGCTGCTCCGGCGTAGCCTCTCTGAAGTCAGGCGAAAAAGCAACAACACCAGCAAAAGACCTTCCTGCTGCTGTTGCTGCTGCTGCTGTTGCTGCTGCTGGTGCTGCTGGTGCTGCTGGTGCTGCTGGTGCTGCTGCAGCAGCGTCTGCTGCTGCTGCTGCTGTAGGCGCTGACAGAGAGGGAAAGGCTGAGGGGTCGTCTGGCGGCTGCTGCACTGCTGCTGTTGCTGCAGGCGCATTGAGTGCAGCAGCAGCAGCTTCTGCTGCTGCTGCTCTCCGTGCTGCTGCTGCTTCCTGCTGCAGCTGCCGCTGCCGCTGCTGCCTGCGCTGCTGCTCCCTCTGCCGCAGCCCAGCCTGCAAACAACACCAGAAGCAGCAGCATAAACAGCAGCAGCAGCAGCAGCAGCATAAACAGCAGCAGCAGAGGTAATAGCAGCAGCAAGCAAAACGCTGAACATTAAAGCTTATAGTCTACGCCTCAACGGGAAGCAAACCCCGAGGGTTTAGGGTTTAGGGTTTAGGGTTTCATGCACCTCAAAATGCTGCAGCGTCGCCGGAGATACCCAACCATCTACAAAACCACACGCATAAACCCTAAACCCTAAACCCTAAACCCTAAACCCTAAGCTTCACCCCAAGCCCGCTTGCAGCTCGCAAGAACCCGTCCCCAGCCCAAACCCTAAATCCTAAACCCTAAACCCTGATGACTGACCTAAGGCGACTTCAGCAAGGCTGGCTGAAGTGTTTAGAGGGAGATGTTCTAACAGCCTGAGGGGCCGTTGCTGCCTTTGCTGCTGCTGCTGCTGCTGCTGCTGCTGCTGCTGCGGCCGCCGCCGCTGCTGCTGCTGCTGCTGCTGCTGCTGCACTGACTCCAGCGAGACAACCTTAACATCATATAATACGGGAGGCAGCAAAGAAGGGTCCCCTCCTGCTTCGTGCAGCAGCAGCCTGCAAACAAACCCTAAACCCTAAACCCTAAACCCTAAACCCTAATCACTTTATTACGCTCTTGCCCCTTTGCTTTCTCCACCCCCTGTAAACCCTAAACCCTAAACCCTAAACCCTAAACCCTAAAACCTACTGAAAACAGAAAGGGTGAAGAAATATTGGCTGCCCGTCTGCTGCCTGATAAAAGTAGAAACCATTGCTGCTGCTGTTGCTGCTGCTGCTGCTGCTGCTCTCCGATACTCCTTCTAGCGCTAGCTGCTGCTGCTGCTGCTGCTGCTGCTGCTGCTGCTTGGAGCAGCACCCCTTAAGTCTCTGTTCATGCAGCAGTTGCAGCAGCCTCGTGAAGACCTGCAAAGAGCAGACCGCAAACCCTAAACCCTAAACCCTAAACCCTCATGACCGTAAACCCCAAACCCTACACCCTCACCACGAAATAGAGCCTACACCTTGCGGCACTGCGGAGATCCCTAAACCCTAAACCCTAAACCCTCAACAATTTACCTGCATGCGCTCATGCAACGGCTTAAGAGGCTGCACCGCTTGGCTGCTGCTGCTGCTGCTGCTGCTGCTGCTGCTGCTGCTTTTGGCTGCTGCCGCACGGTCTGCGAGAGCCCCTGCAAAATGCAGGGCCTGCGGCAGCAGAGTCAACCATCCCCAACAGCCAAACCCTAAACCCTAAACCCTAAACCCTAAACCCTAAACCCTAAACCCTAAACCCTAAACCTGCATAAGTAGTTCGCTAGCCTGTGTTCTTGCTGGTGCAGAGCGGTGGTTTAGGGTTTAGGGTTTAGGGTTTACTTCTTGCAGCTCTCTCGCCGCCTCCGGGTCTTCATCAGGTCCTTCAAGGCAACTTAGCATCCGCCCCTCTGAACGCAAACCCTAAACCCTAAACCCTAAACCCTAAACCCTACAGGCCTCCCTCCATGGCGTCTGCTGCGTCTTCTCAACAACAGCCCCCGCCGAAACAGATAATGGTTTGTGAACTGTGAATTAGGGCTTAGGGTTTGAATTAGGGTTTAGGGTTTGGATTAGGGTTTAGGGTTTGAATTAGGGTTTAGGGTTTGGATTAGGGTTTAGGGTTTGAATTAGGGTTTAGGGTTACCGAGGGTTCTGAGGTGGTCCATCCAAATTCGATGGGGCTCCTCAACATAGGCGACGGAGTTAAAAAATGCATCTGAATGCAAACCCTAAACCCTAAACCCTAAACCCTAAACCCTAAACCCTACTCTGTTGCCTGAGGCCTGGCGCTATCGCCGGAGGTCTTCTGATGCGCGTAGAAAGGAAGGCTAGGGTTTAGGGTTTAGGGTTTAGAGTACGTACGAAACGAGGACTCTGGGGGAGGAAGGTTGATTTGCTGCTGCTGCTGTTCCTGCTGCTGCTGCTGCAGTGCAGCAGCAGCAGCAGCATTCTCGACAGCAGCAACAAGCGCCTTAGCCTGCTCCAGCGCCCCAGGCGACTCAGCAGCAGCAGCAGCAGCTGCTGCTGCTGCTGCAGCAGCAGCAGCAGCAATAAAAGAAGCACTTAAATATATATAAGGGCTTTTTGAAGGCCTAGTAACGAGACAAAAGGTAGAGCGGCTTCCCTCAACAATAGGGGCGAACTGAACAGACACCCAAACCCTAAACCCTAAACCCTAAACCCTAAACCCTAAACCCTAAGAAAATCAAAACCCTAAACCCTACAGCTAAAAGGGAAAGTAACCCAAGCGGGAGAAACCGCAAGTGTGCTGCTGCGCCGGACGCAGACACTCTCGCTTTATTAGGGTTTAGGAACAAGGGTTTAGGATTTAGGGTTTAGGGTTTGCCTGATGCAGCAGGAAGGGCCTCAACTCCTCAGCAGCAACCAGTTGATGACAGAGCGGACATCGCGAAGGGCCCCCAACACTCAGCATTCGGCAGGCGCAGGTTCCGCATATAGCTGCAAAACCCTAAACCCTAAACCCTAAACCCTAAACCCTAAATAAACCCTAAACCCTTAAGTGCCACGGAGGGTTTTCAAGGACTAGGGTGAGCATCCTGTGTTGGATTTGGGGCTGATCCGAGGGTTTAGGGTTTACGATGTCTGCAGGTGGTTGCGCTAAGGGTTTTAGTGTTTAAGGGTTTAGGGTTTAGGGTTTAGGGTTTACGGTGTCCGCATCTGGGAGTCAGGAGAGCAGCAGCTGCTGCTGCTTCCTCCAGGCAAATAGGGCAGAGGAGTTCTTCAGAAGCAGACTGAAAGCGAATCGCGCAGCAAACCTCTCCCCATGCTGCAGCAGCAGCAGCAGCAGCAGCAGCAGCAGCAACAGCAGCAACACACAAACACACAAGACAGCACCGTCAACCTCTGCAGCAACGGCAGGAGCAGCAGCTGCAGCAGCAGTAGAAACAGAAGCAGAAGCAGCAGCAGAAGCAGCAGCACAAGCACCAGCAACCCCAGCAACCGCAGCAGCAGCAGCAGCAGCAGCAGCAAGAACAACAGCAGCAACATCATTATTAGCAGCAGCAGAAACGAGGGAGGTGCTGTTTATCAAAGGGTTTAGGGTTTAGGGTTTAGGGTTTTATTCACCTAGAGCATCAGAGCGATGCTTTCTAATGTATTGCAGCTGCGGTAGTGGGTGTTCCTCTTGCTGCTGCTGCTGCTGCTGCTGCTGCTGCTGCTGCTGCAGGCCCACAAGGACGCGACACTTTGCCAGCAAGAAGCCATGAGGTTCGTTGTCTGCTGCTGCTGCTGCTGCTGCTGCTGCTGCACTTCGTTTCTGCTGCTGCGGAGGTCGTGGTGGAAGCTGCTGCTGCTGCTGCGGCTTGGGGCGGTAGCGGCTGAAGGATAGAATTGCTGCAGCAGGCAGCGAGACAGCCTGACCTCGTCTCCCTCTTCCTTGCCTGTCTTGCTGCTGCTTCTGTTGCTGCTGCTGCTGCTGCTGCTGCTGCTGTTGCTGCTGCTGCTGATGGTTCTGTTGTACTGGTTGTCGTTGTTCTTCGCGTTGCCGTTGCTGCAGCTGCTGCTGCTGCTCATGCTGCTGTTGTTGGTGCTGCTGCTGCTGCTGCTGCTGCTGTTGCTGCTGCTGCTGCTGCAAGGCAGGACCTTTTCCATTGGATGAAGACATCGCGTGGCGCCTATAGAATTGCTGCTGCTGCTGCTTTTGCTGCTGCGCCTTCACGCTGCAGCACACAGACCCCCGGTTGGTTTGTCCTTGCAGCAGCAACTTTGCTGCTGCAGCAGCAGCAGCAGCAGCAGCGCCTGCTGCAGCAGCTGCTGCAGCAACCCTCACGAACTCTCAACTGGCCACCCCGGCGGGTGCCATAGTTTAGTTAGCAGCCATTCCGCCTTTGCTGCTGCTGCTGCTGCTGCGGCTGCTGCTGCTGCTGCGGCTGCTGCTGCTGTTGCTG